CAAAGTTGTTGGAATTGCTCCAAACTAGTGTCAATACGATCCCAGGCTTAAAGTAAGCATTTCTCCCTTCTAGACTTTCGAGAAATAATGAGGTTTCGACTGTGTTCAGTAAAGTTGGAATATAGTCAATATTTATATATAAAGTTTTCCTTTTTGCCGAATATAGTGTTAAAACTAGTCCTATCTTTCCAGTAACACGATTTCAGTTTGGAAGAGCTATTGAATACTAATTGGAACCTATCAGTTAATCATAAATGGGAAATCGAGGTATGTTAAGGCATTTTCTTTCTGCAAGTTAGTTTCTTCAGCATAGTAATCCAGTATGAATCCCAGTAAAGCATGTCAGGAGTATGTTATCATGTCTAGTTGTTATTGTCAGTCGATACTAGTAAATTATATTGTTTTGGGTTGGATTATACCTGTATAACTTCCACGACCACCCCAAGGTTAATAGTTGTGTCGACCCGCCCGCCAGGGTTGGGGATACGTCCCTTTATGAAGCGGCATGCCGTCCGTAAGGGATGAAGATTGGGATCTAGATCCTCATATTTGTCGTGTTTGGCCTTATACACACCTCCGTCGAGCGCTTACACCCGGGGTGTAGATATCAGGAGTCCTCCGGACTCAGGCACAACTATAGTCAGGGGTCGAACGGGCCCAACTGCAGACCCAGGGGACTGGCAGGACTCTTATAGCTGGTAGTTGATTCAATATGACCTGGATAGGGGTATATAGATTGAGGTGTACTCGCTAGGGCTAAAGGGGGCCCAAGTGGGTTATTCTGTGCTTATTGTACCTTTCGGCTTATGGAAGCCAGGTAAGGTTTATGCTTGCTTTAGTTACTGATAGTTAGAGAGTAGGAAGCCTCATTTGTCAGGTATGACCCCTACCCTCCTTATTACATTTATGTTTAGTCCTGATTTCACTACCTCAGTCATCTTCAATCCGTTTTCTTTACTTCAGTCACTGTTAGTTCTATTTCTTACTTTGAGTTATTTAAAGTTACTGCTTTGCATACTCAGTACCTGTGGTACTGACGCCCTCTTCTGGGGCACTGCATTACTTTCCTGCAGGTACAGATAGACGAAGAGCAGGTCCCTCGTAGTTCCAGTCAGCTGTACAGAGCCGTCAGCTCCCTTCTTTCGGAGCTTGTGTGATAGAGGTTTACTTCTTTTTTTTGTACAGTATGGGAAGGTCGGGGCTCTGTCCCAATAATCTTATTACTCCTAGAGGCTTGTAGATTGCATTACTTCCCTGTGGTTAGATGATATCGGTCGTGTGGGGCCCATATGTGTTTTAGACTATGTGTGTTGGCCGTGTGGGGCCATTTTTCGCTGTTGATTGGTGTCCTTTTTGGTCATAGCTCAATTTAGAATCAGCTTTTACTTTTCAGTTATAACTAGATATCATGGTGGACTTGTCGGCCCGCATAGGACTCCCTATAATTGTTTGTCCCTGGTTAGCTGTTTATTTTCACAGGTGGCTATAGGCCTTGTCGGCAGGGGGTTGTATTTACAGTCGTTATATAGCCCGTTGTTTTCTTAATTCTAGAGTTAGAGTCATCCCTGCACCAGAAGTGCTTAGGCTCAGTCAGCTCAGCAGTTCAGGTTCTAGTAGGGCACCAGGTGCCAGTCATGCCTCCCAAGGTGGGCGTGACATAAGATTGGCAACAAATTTTTAAAAAATTCCATTCTAAGATAATATTTTATGCTTTGACGTGATAATTGAAATTTAAACAAATCTAATGTAAAAATCACTCAATATTTGAGCATAAAAATTAAAAAACATGAAAAGCAAGTTAACACGTCAAACTTCGATATTCCAGTAATTGAACTATTGCTTATCCCCATAACCACATTAGTAGACCTCACAATTTTTTTCACAAATCCTCTTGTCTTGATATTGTTTCACTAGTTTAGATCTCCTCTAGCCTTCCACATACAAAATCATAGAAAATAGAAATTCTTCTATGAAAATAGTATTGAAAGAGTTAAATTTATAGGAAAAGAATTGTAATTTTGTAATATGAAGATACTTATAAATCCACAAGGTCAAATGTTAAAATAAATTAAAGACAAAAATAATAAAATATGAGCATTAACTTTGGATGATGAAACACATAGATGTATCTATTAAAAAGGGTTATCATATTATATTATATTTTCTTATTTAATTTACTCAC